CAATACATAACATTAGAAAGAGGTGGTCAAACATAGTGAAACAGATCTCCAGTAAAGAAGAGTTTAACCTAATTAATCACATTGACATCCTGAATTCTACAGAGTGTATCCACTCATCCCAGGTCATAACTGCTTGGTTCTTGCCTGTACTTAAATTCTGGATCTTCATTTAGTTTCTGACATATAGCTTGTGCTCTTTGCTAGAATGTGAAAGAAAAGCAATTGCAAAATTCCCATTTATTTCAGTAGGCTCAGGTTATCGCCTCATCAATTAATTATTTTTAAGTGGCATGTATGCATAATGTATTGATCTACCAGCAATAACTGATGTTCCCCTCAATGCCCACTGCTTGTTTTTAAAATTAATATGTTGTCTTGTGGGTTTTTCAATAGCAAATTTGTACCTGGTGTTAAAAAGCATGGCAAACTCTGGGTTCTTAGAACCAGCAGAGTTGAATATATTGTGCCTGGACAGGAGGTATACTGAAAAGGAGACTATGAAATATGTAGGACCCACATTTGATAGTTTTCTGTTCTGTGTTTTTAATCCAGATTTTTCTTAATTCATTCTGTACCTTTTAGGAAGTGTGCATGCTAATGTAATGTCCTCAAAATTCTGCCTAGGGGAAACTAAAAAATGTACTATGAACCTTCAGGCAGTAATGATTATATAAGTATGCTTTGGTATCTACCTATGCCTATAGTCTAATGAATGTCAACTGTCGCTTACTTCAGTAATCTAAAACTCAGTTATCTTCAAAGATCAACCAACACTAAGTAAAGATCAGCCTGTAAGAACTTTGTTTCTTATGTTGTTTCTTGATAAAGTCAACCCTAATTGTCCTAATTTGAAGAACTGTACAGGAAGTATTTACTCCTGAAAAACAGCAGGTAGAAATTGCTGTATCTCCTGATCATTCTGCTGTTGACTATAAAGCTTTCCTTAATTGGAAAACATGGAAAATCCTTAAGCAGATATTTACAGTGACATTTTTATTTGCAGGAAGGTTATGAACTTCATAAATTTAAAATTTATTTTTCAGTACTTTTTAATTTAAAGGCTAAAGCAGCTGAACTCTTTAATTAAAGCAGAAGGCTATGAAAAAAAAGATGCTTATGAGATAGTTTAGATTGATTCAATTTATAACTCTTACAGAGAAAACTTTGTATGGAGAACAGATGGTATTGCAGAATAAAGGCTTGCTTTGCACACAGCTGCCTGACCCACAGCCATTTTTGTGCTGTATTGTACCAATGTGTATTTCTTTGTCACACATGTAATGCCTTTTGTTAGGAATGGACCTGGTAGCAAAACAAGGCTTAAGAGAAGCTTAGGATATGCACAGACTTCACTGCTGTTCCTCTTGTCAGTGAGTACAGAGCTTCTGAGTAACATTTCATATGTGTCGGTGAAATTATTTTTGTCCTGAGTCAAGTTTACACTGACTTTCTGCTACTCACTTTACAAAACTTTCCACCTTTTCTATTCTCTTAATTCTACCCTTGGATGCTCTTTCATTCTTTGATGTAGAAAAAATAGACTTTTGAAAATCTGCAGCCACTGCTTTACTGGGATACAGCCTGCTGTACCTTGTTGGCCCTGCACTGAGATGAAGAAGCAGAATAATGTTATTACTGATAGGGCCCATTTGCCTGAACTTTCTGACAGTTTCATGTCCCTGATCTTGGGCTTTCTGTGGCCCATCAAAAACCAAACAACTGCTCTGCCCCCAAAAATTCTGTAATCAACACCTGGCTACAATCCCTAACACTAAGGCACTAATTGGAAGCATAACTGAAAAGGTCAAGCTATTTCAAGACAAGAACAGAATGTAAGATTAAAGGCAAAAATTAGGCTTGGGGGTACACAGGGGCTAGAAGAATGAGTAGAAAAGCTGCTGCAGTAATTTAACATTCTTCTTGAAAAGTCCTCTGGGCTGCAAATTCACTTTTGACCTTAGTTTGTACACCTGTGGGACTAATTTAGTACAATTTTTCATACCACATTAACTAGCTGCTGTGTATAGCACAGAATTTAACAGGAAAGTAAACCTGTTTTCTTACTGGGACTTTCGGCATATGGCAGGAGTCCTTTTTCCTTCCTCTTCTGACAAATTGCGAGTGACTTTGATTTTGGAGACATTTTTAATGATGTGCTTTGATGTTCTGTAAAACCACTGAGTTAAAAATTAATATAGCCTCAAGCAGTCATAAACTATGTTTCCTCCTATGCAACATAGCAACAAAACTGTTTATCCTGTTTTACTGTATAATCATTACAGTTTTGCACTCATGTTCATTTTGGCTCTGTTTCTTCTTTGATGCCTAGTGGGAAGTTTATTCAGTGCTTCTGTCCTTGTGCTTGCCTTAGAAAATGCTGGGGAATTTTAGAAGCAATCTTCGAATGAAAGAAGCTGGCTGTAAGTTACAGGAAACAGAAAGTGTTAGACTGCTTTTATCTTTTAAAATATGGTCAGCAACTTTGGGGTTTTCTGCTTAAAAGCACAACTCAAATTAAGATTTTTCTTATATTTCATTGATTTTTAATTTGATCTATTGCATTTGAGGACAATATCTGTTTTATCAGCTTTTGGAGGACTTTCATCCATTGCTTCTTCAAAACACCCTTAGTAACTCCTCTTCATGTTCAGTCCTCTTGTGCTCTGAAAGACATTAGAAAGCTAAGCTTTGTTTTGCAGCCTGTGGGAGCATCATGAAAGGTAATGAAAGAAGCAAGAAGATCCAGCTTCTAATAATACCAGCATTTTGAAAATGTTTAAAAAAAAAAGTCCATTGAATGTATTGAAATAAAAGGCTAAAGGTTTTGCAAGTGGATGATCACATTGTATAAGGCTTTTTCATAAGTTTCAATGCCTTGTTAATGAGAAACTGATTTTCGCTTTCAAATCCATTGCACTCACTGGGAGGACAGCACAGTGCTTACAGACCAAAATATGTATATAACTGAAGGAAAGGCTATCAGAAGCTTGTTTGGCAGACTTTCAGGCTTCATTCTGTATATGTCCAATGGTCACCAATCAAATGAATAGCTGTAGAATACTTAGACTGATTTCAGGCTTAAAGAAAAAATCTTGACCTCATAAACAGAAAAACCTGCATTGACCAAAGCCAAATTTTTATTCATTTTCTGTGACCACTTTCCCCTCTGCTTGAGGGAAGATCCTGAGAAATGAAATAAATGTGTGGATCCATATTCCAGCACCCCATCAATAGCAGACTGAACCTGACAGGTATAGCCTAGGGAGGAAAGAGAAGCTTTCATAAAGGCTAAGTAGCACAGCCTGAAAACACTCAGGAAATAAGACAACTTGAAAAAGTATTTAAAAATAATCAGGGGAGGGAAAAGCAATATAGCTACCATTTTATAGATAGGAAAAATCCAGTATTTTGGGCTTTTGGGAGGTCCCAGTAAATTAACACTAAAATCTAGTTTCAGATTTGGATTGAAATTGGAATATGGAAATATCAACCAAACTTTAAATAAAGGTTAATATCTTTAGCAAAACTTGTTGTCAGGTGGATTTATTGATTTCTGGCTGTTGGTAACTTTCACTTTTGTGAAAGATATTTATCCCTTTAGAATTCCATTCTTTGATGTTATTGGCTAAGTTTTCTCTCCTGTCTTAGGTCTGAGGCTCCAGGGAGGAAAAAAAAAATATATTTCCATCATATGAGGAGACTGTAGCTGTGCTTATAGACTCAGAGTTGTTTTCTCTGGGGATCCTCTGTTTCATTGCACAGAGTGAGAGATGAGGCAGAGCCAGTAGAGCAGATGTATATGCACTGAAGTCTACCATGGAAAAGATGAGAAAACCCACCACTGGCATGTGGATGCATGATAGACCATATGTAGCTCTCTTGTATTCTCCTGAGGGGTTTGAAGAGTTTGCTTCCCCCCCTCTGGCTTCTATAATAAGACCTAAGAGTACACATGAAGGTTTTATACTTATGTTGTGATTAGTTCCATGTACACACAATACCCTAATACCACTGCTGTGGGAGGTGGACAGAAACCAGAGCGGTAGGGAAGGTTTTAACCAGATATTCTAGAGTAAATACCTTCAGATAAGTATGCCTGTGTGAATTTTCATAGGAGAATTGATATCACTGTCCATATTTTGGTACAAGCCATTTGGTTTGCAATGCTACTGTAGCTGTTAACTTTCCTGATGCATGAGGATATGCTGCCCCTGATGGCTGAATGCAGCTGGATTTATTCACTGAATTTAATATTCTGAGTTTTTTACATGTACAACCCTAGAGGACAAATTCTTTAGTCTATTTCAGTAATACACACAAGTATGAATAATTTTGCATAAGAAATGCAAGTTTTGCCATACTTGCTAAAGTAACAATTCCACCTGTGGGATGCTTTCTCTGGGGGATGCAGCATGATTTTCATGGAGTGACCACTTCTAAGCTAGAAAGTTACCTAGTAGTGTAACCATACTAATGCAGCCCTGCCACTGTGAATATTTATTTTGACTGCGCTGGTGTTCGCCACATGTTGCTTAGTAGAGTGACTTAAATCAGTTTGTTTCATGGAAAGTCATGAGGCTATTCCTTGGATAGAGTGAATTGAAGTGGGAAGTTCCATCTCCACTTGTGGCCATGGCAGAAAGATGAGTCTTCTGGCCAAAGTCAGGTCAGAAGAATCATGGAAATGGAGGCATGGCAGGGACCTGAAGAGATATCCTACTGTAGCTCATACCCTTGCACTGCTGGAAACTTGATTATGTATATTCCATCACTAATGTGATAATTATACACAGTTACATGTATAGTTGCACAGCGGTACCTAAATGGTACTAAGTGATTCCTGTTCTGACTGGTAGTGTTTCAAAGCAACATTGCATGAGGGTGAATGACTATCCAAGTTATCAAGGGAAAATCAGGCTGTAACTGCTAGTAGTTCCAAGGGGAAAATGCACATTCAAGTTTTTTCTAACCACTTGTTTTGGTTTCCCCCCCCCCAACAGAGACAAGGAACCGGAGCTACAAATGGAAAAGACAAGACATCTGGTGAGAATGGTAAGAGTATTTCTTGGAGAACATTGAGTTGGATTGAGCCAAAATATTTTTTTACTGTAATGATAGATGTCAGGTAGCAACATCCATGGTTTCATATCTTATCTTTTGAATGTGTTTTAAAAAATGGAAGGGCTTCAGTGGGATTGTTTTCTTTATATTTTTAAGTTCAAACCATCTACTAAAGTAGAGACCTGATTCTGAGCTCGTACATGGTAAACCAAAGGACTTTGTAGTCAGTGCAGATACAAATGGGGCTAGAACAACAGTGTTAAGTGTGTGAAAAGAACACCAAGAGACCAAGTGAAGTATTATGAGCAGCTGCTGTGTGAGTGGGGAAGGTGAACAAAAGTAAACTAATTACAAAGGACTTGCTCATAAACATGGTTTCTGTGGTCTAATTCATCCCACCTAATTTTAGGCCCATAACTAAGATACCAAAGTTAGAAGCCACTTGCACAGAGCTCATTTTAGTGTTGTTAGAAATAGGATATGGATGGAGTAGCTCGCATGGAAGGACCATATGGCAAATAGGCTCCTAACTTTGGAACTCTATATGAGTGAATCTGGACTTATGCTACACTTCTCTAAGGAGTGAGTCATTGGGGTTTTTTTGGACTTCAACAAAGGGGTGGGCAGGAACCAATTTCTGCCCCTTAAGTGGCACAAATGATTCTAATTGGAAAATGTTGATTTCCAGCCCCCTACAACCCCCCCCAGTCAAACTGAATTTTCAGTGAAAACAAATTGGTTTTTACCTGAAATCTCATCTTATTTCCTATAGGAGACAGAAATGCTTTACACACAAATGATCACCTGATTAAAATCCAGTTACTGTCAGAAACATTTTTCAAAGGAAAACATTTTGATCAGCTTTCTTACATACACAGCGGAATGAGGCAGCATCAGTTTGTAGACATTTGTGAATAAGATGAGGATTGAACTATGTAAATATGCTGTCTGCCTCTTTGATCATCCAGTTCTAATTAAAATACTATGTTCCGGTAGTCCATCCCATCTACTGAAAAGCATGAAGAATGTAAGTCTCTTCTCTGAAAAGCCACGGGTTTCTGAGATAGGATATTTGAGCAGTTATTTTGGATATAAATTTTGGCTTTTAGGTGTTGGTCTGAACAGAATTTTTGGGCCCTTTGAGGCAACACATCTTAAAACATTAAAAGACTTCTTTATGCTTAGTTTTCCTATTACAGAGAGGTGACTTTCCCATAAGGGCTGTTTGCATAATGTTACAGTAAATGAAATCCATAGATGATGTTACCAATATGATAAAACACAAATTAGAGTGGAAAAAAAATATTTTGGCTTGTTAGTGTCTTGAATTAGTGGGAACAAATGTACCCTGACAGCAAAGCCATTTGTATTCTCAAGTTAACAGGAAAGGAAGGCAAGCAAAATTATGTCAGCCATTCGGGCAGCATGGGAAGCATGTTTTTCTCTTTACTGTTTGAGCATGTTATGAACTGAGCTCATTTGCCTTGAATTTCTTCCCAAATAAAATTGTCCTGTTGTCAAGTTTAGCTTAGATTTACTGATCCTGCAGCCTTTTTAAAAGCAAATTCTTTTTTTCTCAGAGGGAATTTTGAGTGAGAAAGGACTTCATCATTAATTCACAAATATATGTGATTCTAGTTATAGCATAGTTTTAGGTGTAATATAAACAGGCAGATGCGCAGTTAATCTTAGATAAAAAGATACCAATTATTTTTTGTAATGAAATGTAACAAAAAAGCCTGTCACCTATGTAAAATAGAGGTGCAGCAGGGGAGATGGAATAGAATCCTCTGGTCTCCCCAGTCCACATGCTTGCATGAAAATAAAGCAGAATCAGAACTTTGAAGCTGAGATTGAATTCAAAATCAAAGAAGCAGAAATGTATAGCTCTTTGTCCTTATTAGCTCTGTGTAGTTAGAACTCAAGTAGAAGTGATTTATTCCTCTGAAAATTGGGGGGTGCTGTAAACCCACATACACAATATAAATCCTCATTACATGCTTTTTGGCCAGAAGTCTGCAATACGTTCATGTCTTAAATTTTCATTGTGGCTGTTATGAGCCTCTTCATATGTTTGTCTCCCTGTCAAAAGGAAACTTTCCCTCTTGTGGAAAAGGGGGGAGGGAGGAGAAATCAAACCCCCTTTCATCTTTTTTTAAAAAAAAGTCATGCTATGAAAATGGGTGCAAAGGCAAACTAGTCTGGTCACTATCCTTGCTCTTGATTACAAGATCAGGAAAAGCTGCTGAAAACTAGCCCTAACAACAAATAGGGTCAGCTGTTTTCGGAATTTTTGATTCACACAGTGGAGATACTGCTATGGGTAAAGTTTTGTTTGTGCATTGTTTGTAGAAAATGAATTTTGGGCCTGTCTCTGGGCTGGCTCAAAACTGGAGAAAATAAAACTCATGACTGTGGCAGTCAGCATTCTCCCTCTTTGAAGACATGTATGGTGTTGCTGTTACTGTAAAGCATTCAGGGAAATTCGATCTCCGAAGATTCCTTTTATAGTAGTGATAGTTTTGGTAGACACTTACAAATGCGTGTTCTTGTTTGACCTTTGTTAGATAGCAGCATTATATCTGTAGTTGTATTTAGTTCCTACCACCACAGCAGTGGTCTCTCTGAGTTAGCCTCCCTTCCAGTGGAGAATTTTATCACACACAATGCAGGCTCAGTCCCGATGTCTACAGAACTGGCACTGCCTTGTTCTGGCAGCCTTGCTTGTTGGCTCAGGGGGATGAGCAATGGAAAAGACTGAGCTTCAGAAAAGCCAGTAGTGTGGAGCAGTGATATGCCACAGTACAAGAGTTTGTGATAATGGGAGAAGCAAATCCTATACACAAACTGTACTGGTTGTCATGCTGATGAATGTACCTACATGGGACCTTCATTCATCAGCAGTTATCTTCCCTCAGCTGCCTTCTTGAACAGTCTTCCAGACTGCTAGGTGGTGAGGCGTGGGGGGCAAAGCTCCTCTTCCAGAGCACTGGTCACGAGCAGACAGGATTCCTCTCCACTGTATTTCGTATAATATGTACCACCATATCTTCTTGGGTTTTATGCAGCAACAGGTCTGGTAGTTCTTGAAGCTGTATCAGTATTATAAATACTGAATAATCACTTGTGTTGGAGTAGCTTTTACACACACTGAGAGTTTTGCTGTTAACCTTCGATGACCTCACTGGATGCTGGTCAAGCCCTAGATGACATTTGTCTATCTTAAACTACAACTTGTTTAAAAGGTCGTCCTTTTACAGGTTATGATCAAAATCAGATGGTGATTCATGTCTTCCTAAGGAAGAGTGACTCTTGCATTACAGTGTGCTCTCATGGTACATCAGTGGCTAATGAAGCCAATGGAATTGCTCCTGATAGCTTCAGCGGGCACTGTGTAATGCTGAGTAGCTTTTCCATCCAAAACATACTATTGTTATAGTTTATAATATAAACACACTATATTGTCAGGGAAGTCTATGTAGCTTCATCCTGTTGTCAGAGTGGGAAGAACAAAAATATTATTGGGAGTAAACTATATAAACTAGTTTTCCTGTGTGAAAACTGGTTAAAGGACTATTTTTAAAGAAAAACCACCCTAATAATTAGCAGTAATACTACGCATACAGAAGCATAGGTATAAAAAAAACTTGTTGTACATAGGAGCCATGTAACTGCAGCTGCCATAACCTCACTGGGTCTTGAAGGACCTCGGTCTACCTGAAAGCCATGACATATTTATGTATGCCGTTATGAGCTTAACTTGTAAACTCTATTATATAATGCTGTTCTCCATGGTAGAAAATTGAAAGGGAAGACAGCAGTACTATCTGCATGCACCCTCTCCTATATGAATCTGACTTGGTCTAATAAAGTCAGTGTGGGATAAGAAGCTATAATTTCCTTTTTGCTCACCTGGTTTGATTAATCTGGCCTATCATGTTTGCAGATGCATCCTAAATGAAAACAGGATGTTCCTAATGTACTATTCTTACTACCTTGGCAATGTTACAAAGTTCCTTTGTAGGTTAACACTTGTCACTTCTCATTCTGTTTCACATTACTCTGCATTTTTTTGCTATGTAATTTGTGAGCTGGTATCATACAATCTACTCTTTACAGCCTAGCACAACTGTCACGGAAATAATTGCATCAGAACCAATTATTTCTATCTTAAGATTTAGAATCACTCTTTTCCTATCAATAGATCTTACCCTTTCTTCTGAAAGTATGTAAGGCATGTAATTGTTAATTGATATTTGTTAATCATTTGCTTGGAATATGAGATTTATCATTCAGCAGTATCAATATTTATAATAACAAAATACACATTTTCATGTGATGAATTCTATAGCTTCCTCGGTCTGAGTGAAATGAAAAATGAATAGGTTTTGCATGAATTTAAATGTCATTGTAGATTAGGCCTACACAATCATGGTGAGATGGTCAGTTGTACTGAAACAGTAAAGCCCTTTTCAGTTTCTACTTGTTCTTAAGAATTTGTCTTGTTAGCATGTGATCTCTGCTTTGAGGTGGTCAGAAAACTATAAATGAATAAATGCTCCGCATTTCCTCCTCTCCATACAGTACATCATGGGATGCCTCTACATAAGGATAAGGAAACAGTAGAGTTAATAAAGTAAATTCTTATCTTTTACATCTAAAATGGAGTCATCTAAACTCACTTCAATCTGAATGCTTCTAGAGTAATGGTAAAGAATTGTAAAACAATCATGCATGGTAGAATAGAGAGATTTCTAGTAAGCTTTCCTGGTAGAGAGGTATGCATCTTGCAGTGTTATCAACAGTCCATTCACCTACTTCATGTACTTAAGGAATTCAGGGAATTCTGTACTTTGTGCACACTACACTCAAGAATAAAGAATCTTGCTAGGTCTGACAGAGTGAATAATCATCTTCATAGTTATTTATGGAGAGTGCTTAGCTTAATAGAGCTTTAATTCCTGGCTAGAGGCCAGGATCATTATTGTAGT